ATCTGCTCAAGCAGAACGTTAATGTCATCTTGTTCTTCAGCAAGGTATCTTTAGCTAAAACTAGCTAATGTTAAAGTTAATGAGTCGATGCTAACGTGCAAACCTAAATAGTGAACTGTTCTCAAATCATGTACAGTGTAGGTCAAAAACTCATAAACAATGGTCTAACATTTTAGTGCCTCTCCATATTAAACTGGTTAAATGTAAATGAATTTAATCTTACACTGCAGTACATGAACGGTGTTGATCCAGGATGTTGTCATTGCGATCGTGACAATCGTAATTGTAATTGTATTGTGATCTGTATTTTTACATATTTATTTTAATATATTTTATCTATCCCTCCATGGCATATTTAAGTCCCACTTGAATGATGGTGTCCATTAAAAAAAAAAAAAAAACATCCTGTGACAAGGTTTTCACACTGACAGCTGTCATTGTAAGACAGTTAGCAACTTCATTTGTTTGTCCGAGTGAGCAGCAGTAACTAAGGGGGCGGGGCTTACCGATAGGTCAATTGCAAGTAAGTCATGGGCTGAATTTAGAATAACATTCTAGCATACTACCTTAATATTTTTAGTTCATTTTTATATCTAAGAAGTAGTACGCAATGTCTGCTATTCCAAATTCAGCCATGGTTCATCATACACAAAAGGACTGTTATATAAAACAAAGTCTGGCTCATCTATATGTTCTGCACAAACTCCCTGTTTCAGTAAGAATCATGTCAGGGTCTATAATGTTATTTCTCTCGGTCTTGTTTCTGTTTGCAGGTATTTGGTTTTAGAGCACGTGTCAGGTGGAGAGCTGTTTGACTACCTGGTAAAGAAGGGCCGATTAACACCCAAAGAAGCTCGAAAGTTCTTCAGACAGATCATCTCAGCTCTGGACTTCTGCCACAGTCACTCAATATGGTGAGTGTGAGCAGTCATTCCTGAATATGTTAATGTGTTTTAATGAAAATCATGATGGTCGTGTTCTCAGATTGAGGCAATTAAAGCAATAAGCCACTACAGACTGTGCCAAGATCATTATATGTGGCAAGAGAGCTTTCTTTCTTTCTTTCTTTCTTTCTTTCTTTGTGCAGTCATTCATTATCTATCCTGCTACACTCTTAAAAATAAAGGTGCTTGAAAGAGAGCGGTGCCATAGAAGAACCATTTTTGGTTCCACAAAGGAACCATTCAGTCAAAGAACCATCTCATTCTTACCTTTTTTATGATCTGAAGCACCTTCTTTTGCCACAAAGAACCTTTTGTGAAACAGAAAGGTTCTTCAGTTGTTAAAGGCTCTTTATGGAACCATTTAGACAACAAAGGTTCTTCTATGGCATCGTGAAGCACCTTTATTTTTAAAAGTGTAGCCAGCCATCCATCCAGGGCTGGACTGGGACAAAAAATGGCATTTTTTGGTCCAGGCGGCCCACCACCACTTCGAGATATATATATATATATACACACACTATACTAGTAAATTTTTTTGAACAGTAAGATTTTTTATGTTTTTTAAAGAATTCTCTTCTGCTCACCAAGCCTGCATTTATTTGATCCAAAATACAGCAAAAGCAGTAATATTGTGAAATATTTTTACTATTTAAAATAACTTTTTTCTATTTGAATATATTTTAAAATGTAATTTATTCTGCGATTTCAAAGCTGAATTTTTAGCATCATTACTCCAGTCATGATCCTTCAGAAATCATTCAAATATTCTTGGAAGCTGCATTTAAAATCCACTTGGCTCAGAAATCTGAGGGGGCACGAAAACGTGGGAAAAGCAGACGAGGAAGAAGTTGGGGTGATGCAATCTTGGGCGGAGCAAAATACCGATTAAGTATTTTGCTCCGCCCAAGATCGCATCACCGTCTATAGCGCATTGTGATTGGATGTTTACGCTGTCAATACAGGAGACAAACCAATGGGCCACTGGCTGCTCGCTGTCCGTGC